CAGCTCTTTTATTAAAAATAGTTTTGAACCCCTACTGAATCTGGCGGAAGGCATTTTAAATGATTTTTACCAAAAGCTGGATTTTAAAAGAGGCGATTGACTCGTATTCTGATTTGGAAGCCTGATGTGCTTATTGAGTTTAACAAAAATGTGGATTCATTGTTCCTACTGCTCAGTCTTTTTTTACTCTTATTACTTACTGGGTTGGAGTACTCACATTACTCCCTGCACCTCGTGTGCAGATTCAGGTATTTCTAAGCTTGGTGGCAGTTTCATCGGAGTTAGCAAGGTAGCTGCCTGGCGATCGTGGATCTGCTTTCTCCCTCTTTTATTCCTCCTTATGTATAAATTGTGACTTTTTCCGATCATGTTGGTCTTGATGTAGTTTGACAGTTGTAATAGATGCTCATGACTAGTGACACCCCGATGTCGGGCTTGTGTAATTATTCCGCATTTTTCTTTTAAATGTTCATACTGAGATTAACGGTTTATAAATGGTATAAAAACAACTTTTAATGGAAAATGGTTGACTTGGGGAATTGTGTCGGCTGGCCTTGTCTTCACGAGAGGCGCCATCGACCGGGTCCGGTTTGGGATCGTGACAATGAGTCTAATCCTTGACTCTACATTTGCATGAGGCTAATCCATGCTTCCCCATTTGCATGAGTCTAATCCTTGACTCCATGAGGCTAATCCTTGCCTCCATATTTGCATGAGGCTAATACCTGCCTCCCCATTTGCATGAGTCTAATCCTTGACTCCCTGTTTGCATGAGTCTAATCCTTGACTCCATGTTTGCATGAGGCTAATCCATGCCTCCACATTTGCATGAGGCTAATCCCTACCTCCATACTTGCATGAGTCTAATCCCTGACTCCCTATTTGCACGAGTCTAATCCCTGACTCCATGAGGCTAATCCCTGCCTCCATACTTGCATGAGGCTAATCCTTGCCTCGCCGTCTGCATGGAACCAAACACTGTCCCTCCTTGCACAAATATTGCTCTATTTTGAGTACTATTTATTTGCTTTTCGATTGGGCTAAGCTCTGCCCTCCATTTCACAAGACTAAGCCTTGTCTTGTTAATATCATACTTTTGTATATCATGGGCTGGAATATCGCCAATCTGTACAAAGGCTTAATAGTCTAAAGGCATCATCCTCATAGCCAGAAGACACCATGCCATGGCCTGAGGATCTCTCAAAATTGCATATCATTATTCAAAGGCGTCGTGGTTTGGGGGCACCATTTTCATGGCCCAAGAACATCATTTCATGGCCTGCGAATCCCTCACTAAACAATTCATGGCCCAGGACGTCATGGTCCAAGGACGTCATCATTAATCGTCCAAAGACAACTTTCATGGTCCAAAGGGAATTTGCATCATGTTTAAATTTTTGCAAATACGTGTTTGTAGCATCTTTTATCTGTAGGTAACCAGTAAGCAACCGCTATCCTAGCGGGAGCATTCTCGCTCCAGTTCCCTCCAACTGTAACAAACCGTAACTGCTCTCCATAGCTGCTTCGGCATCGCGTGTCCGTTCTTGCAATAATTTCATCGGCATATTCCGCAGATGAACCCAGAACTACACATGGCCTGATTTCTGTAAAACCAGGGATATGTAGGTAGCTTGAAGACCAGAGTCCGGCCCCTGTCTTTCAAAAACATCTCGTCCAGTCAAAATTGGCCATCATTTCTTTACCCGGAAACTCTTTCATCCTTCCCGGGTAAAGATGGGCAGCTGTTGATACCCAATTTTTCCCTATATATTTTTGATATGCATAAATACTTTCAAAATAGCACATATAAGCATGCACAAGATTTTTATAATTTTCCTATATTTTTAAAGTTTTTAAATTGATTTATTTCCTTCCATTTTGCTCGTAAAATCCCCAATAATTACCCCTCAAATTATTGTTGTGGTGATTTAGTCAATTTAATTCTATATTTATGCCAATATATGGTTAAAATATTTTTTGTGCATTTTTATAATTGCATTTTGTATTTTTAAAGCTAAATTGCATATAATTAAAATATTAGCCTGTTAATGTATAGTTACATTTATATACATAAAATTGACTTTCTATATTTTTAAAATGTTGAAAATATATTTTAAATCATTTTAGTACATGAAACTAATTTGTAGAAATTATTTACAATTTATTATAAATATATAGGGAAAATTGGCTATTTAAAATATGGCCAGATTTGCATCTCAATTTTAGCCCAATTTTAACCCAACCCCAGCCCAATTTCGTATTAAACTACCCGACCCAAACCCTAAACCCGCCTACCCGACCCAAAACCAATTGAATCATGGCCGTTGATCTAAGAGATCAACGGCACGTATTAACCTCTTCCTTTTTTTATTCCAAACGACCCCCCAACCCTAAATCATTTTCCAAATCCGCTGCCTCTGTATTCTCTCATCGCTCCTCCTCTCTCAGTAACTCGACCTAACCCTAGACCCTTCAACCGCCGACCTCTCTTTCTCCGGTCTTCTCCGGTGATATCCCATCAACTCCTAAGCCTCCGATGGCTCCTATAATGTTATGCTTGCATTCTCTAAGGTCTTCAAGGGCCCAGGGCCACGCCGATATGCACCTAGGGTCGTCACTTGTCTGTTCTTGACTACTCCGGTGTGATTTCAAGCAAAATTACGTTGTATTTGTCACGATCCTTGGGATTCTAGACAGGTTCTTTCGTCTCTATATGGATTTCTTCCGAAACTCTAATTTCTGCCTACATCTCCTAGATCTGTACAATTTTAAAACGATTTGAGTTTTTTTCTTTGATGTTTTACACTGTCCTTGGAACTCTTTACAAGAACCATGTGATTTCAAGTGTTTTCATCTTCTTCTAAAAATTAAGGTTTTCGGAACTCCTTTTAAAACTTTGTTTAAACTGATTCTTTACGTTTAAACTTCTATTCTTGCATATTTCGACTGATTCTGTGAGTTTACTATCTCTTCAACTTGCCTATGTTAAAATCCCTAATTTTCTAGATTTTCTTCGTTTGGGTCTGTGTATTAGCATGATTGATCGCTGCTTGTTTGGGTTTCTGTGACTATCTTGCCTCGAATATGTTCTTACTGAATTTTTAGCCAACTTATATCACCTCTATGTGTTTGTGTTCATCTTGACTAACACTTGCCTTTTTGCTTGCTGTGTTTGGTTACTCCTATCTCACTCTTTTTATATGCTAAAACTCTCTCTTTGATCGACTCTGAACTCCTTGTTTCTTGGCTTGATTTGAAAACTTCCTGTTTAAACTTGGGAACCCATGTTCCTCTCCTTAAATTAGTAATTTTGAATCCCTTGATTCCATGATTTACTATATGTTGATTTTCGATTATTTTCATATTCTGCAACTTAATTTTGTTTTCTTACCTTATTTGGTTAACCGAGTATTTTACTGATTCTTCATTAGCTGTTCCCTTAATTGAATCCCTATGTACTTACCCCTAATTGTCTATTCTGTACCTGATGCTCTACTTGATTTCTTCCCTTAAACATTTTCTGCCAATTACCGTTGGTTGATTGTCCCTTAATTAAGGGAGTACTTGCATTGATTGATTCTGATTAGTACTTGGTTCCATAATTACTAAGCTACTGTGATTCTTGCCTTATTTTACCTAATTTCAAACTACTATATATACATGTTGTTTCATTAACACATACACGAACACTTTGGTTCAAAAACTCTCTCTCACACTCAAAAGAATTCTGCTCTCTTTCTTTGGTTACTTGCTATTATTCTGAGTTAGCCGGCTGCAAGCAAGACTGACTATTGTGCTCTCCTGCCCCTTCACTTTTGTGTTTACTGTCTTCTTTACTGGTATGTCCTGATTTCAATTTAAGTCTCAAAAACAATAAGTTCCTTTTCATCCTTCAGTTCATCATGTTCCTAATCTTTTTCTACCTATGTTTCTGCTGTTCAACATGTAATTAATCTCTTTGTGTTAGTTATATACTACCCCCTTAGGACCAGCATGTTTGTCTTCTGTAGTCAATATGACTTAATCCCCTTTTATGTCTAACTGGTTTTAGTATGAATCCTTCTCTGGCAAAACAATTTGTACCTTAAAGTTATTTGGTTCTGTGTTAATTCTAAGGTTCATGTTGTACCCCAACCCCTTTAGAGCTTCTGATTCTGTATCCATGTGGACCTCTGCCTGTTATTTGTTTACCATCATGTGCTCTATGTGTCCCCAATCCCTATCACCCATGACTGTAGGTTTGCTCCTTCTGTTTTGTGTTCTTTAAGTATTGCTGAGTTGGTTTGACTCCGTGTTTGATCTGCAGCTGTCTAATTATGTAACTCTCTCTTTCCAAAGTTGTTTTACTGCATGACTCTCTCTTTTACTCCACAAAGCTGTTTCAAACAAGTCTTTTTTAACACTGTTTTCTTACTAAAACCCTTTCAAAACTATGTCAAGCACTCTCACTCTATTCCTAAGTCCCTAGGTTCTGCCCCCTCCAATGTGTGTACTGCCTTGGGATCCTTTTGAGAACCCTCTGAACTCTGGAACACCGAGGCTGGCCCTTCCACACTGCACTTACTCAATTTGGTTACCAAGTCTAGGTTTGAGCACTGCCCGAGATCCTTGAGATCCTTAGGGAACTCTAACGCACCTAGACAATGATATTGTCTTTGAAATTGGCGTTCGAGGCTATTGGAGGTTTGGGGAAATCACTTGGGCCTGCTTCAGGCTCCCTATTGTGTAACTTCTTCTTTTTCTTATCTACTTACGTAATTGTTCATCTGGTTTGTAATAATTATTTGTAAACGAACATTGGGATTGGCTAGTGAAAAGGGGAGGGTAGTTACCCATGTTATCAATATCAATGGGTAGAAACCATGCCTTAGNAAGTGCAAGGCCCCTTTTGGTAGCACTTTCTTGATTATGTAGGGTCCTTGCCGATTCGATGCGAACTTTCCTTTAGCTTCAACCTGGTGCGGAAGGATGCGTTTCAAAACTAGCTGGCCTACCTCAAACTAGCTTGGGCGCACTTTCTTATTGTAAGCGCGTGCCATTCTTTGCTGGTATAACTGGTTGAAACACACTGCTGCTAGCCGTTTTTCATCGATCAACATCAGTTGTTCTAATCGGGTCTTGACCCACTCAGTGTATTCAACCTCTGATTCCACAATAATTCGGAGAGAGGGAATTTCGACTTCAGCGAGTATTACAGCTTCAGTTCCATATAAAAAGCAGATACGGAGTTGCACCAACAGATGTGCGAATAGTTGTGCGGTATCCCAAAAAGAGTAAAAAGGCAACTTTTCATGCCATTGCCGGGAACCTTGGATCATCTTCCTAAGAATCTTCTTGATGTTCTTGTTCACCGCTTCAATGACTCCATTGGCTTTTGGTCGGTAAGGGGTAGAATGGCGATGCATGATTTTAAAAGTTCGCACACCTCCTTCATCAGATGACTATTTAGTATTGGCTGCATTATCAGTGATAATGGTCTTTGGGATACCAAAGCGACAGATGATGTTGGAATGAACAAAGTCTACCACTGCTTTCTTGGTGACTGCTTTGAAAGTGACGGCCTCCACCCACTTGGTGAAGTAATCAATTGCAACCAAAAGGAATCTATGTCCATTTGAAGCCTTTGGCTCGATTGGCCCAATAACATCCATTCCCCAAGCAACGAAAGGCCAAGGAGAGGACATGGGATGCAACTTCGAAGGAGGCGAGTGAATCAGGTCACCATGAATCTGGCATTGGTGACACTTGCGAACAAAACTAAAGCAATCTCGCTCCATAGTAAGCCAATAATACCTTTCCCGCAGAATCTTCTTCGCCAAAACATATCCATTCACGTGAGGTCCCCATACCCCCGAATGCACCTCGCTCATGATCCACTCCACTTCTGTGGCATCTATGCATCTCAACAAGTTTAAATCAGGGGTCCTCTTGTACAGAATTTCCCCATTCAAGAAGAAACCACTGGAGAGCCGCCTTATAGTTCTTTTTTGATCTCCTTTGGCATGCTCTGGATATTCT